TCATTATATTAAATAAAACTGGACTGATAACACTTCCTTGCGGGGTTCCGTTCTCTATTTCTACAGTCTTTGAACAGACACTACCAACCATTACTTGTATTGTTCTTTTCATTAAAAAATCCTTAATCCAATTAAACATTCGTCCCCTAACTCCCAAATCAAAAATTTTAATCATTAATCCCTCCTTCCACAAAGAATCATATGCCTTCTCAATATCCAGGAATACACTCACTACTATTTCCTTATTGCTAAATGCCCTTTTGATATCCTGATCCAAAACTAACACTGAGTCCATTGTCAACCTTCCCTTCCTAAAGCCATTCTGGACATCAACAAAGAGTCCTCTAGTTTCTATGAAGCACACTAGTCTGTTGGTTACCATCTTCTCCATTACTTTACAAAGCACTGCTGTGAGTGCTATAGGGCGATATGAACTAGGGTCAGATGGACTTTTGCCTGGCTTTAAAATAGGGACCACAACTGCATGTTTCCATTCCTTGGGCAAATAACCCTCTGCCCACACCGTATTAAACAAAGCTAATATTTCATCAAGTACAATATCATCCAGATGTTTAAAAAACTCATAAGACACCCTATCTCTCCCCGGGGTAGTATTTGCCCCGGACATAATTGCATCCTTCAGCTCTTTTATAGTAAAAAACAGATTTATAGGATTATCGTTTTCTAAACTCCTTTCCAACTTCCACTGATTTACTGCCATCAGCTCAGTTCTCTTCCTACACCTCTCAGCCCCCATTCTCTCTGATCTATGCACTGCTTGAAAACTATCAACAAACATGTCTGCTTTTTCCTTATTGGGAACTGCTACTGTCTCACCCTTCTGTAACACTGGTATCAATCTTCTTTTATATACCCCTGACATTCTACGTATTTCAGACCACAAATGCCTTACAGGAGTCTCAGGGCCTAGTGTACCACAAAACTTCCTCCAACTATTCCTCTTTGCATCCTTTATAACTCTTCTTGCTACTGCCCTTAGCCGCTTGTACTCCATTACATTAACCAACATTGGAAACTTTCTTAGTCTTCTATATGCTCTATTCCTACTCCTTACAGCTTGATCACACTCCTTATTCCACCAAGGAACCAGCATACGAGTCCTAGGTTCCTGCTTCAGAGGAATGGTACTGCAAGCGGCCTCATGTATCATGAGACTAATGGATGTGTTCCAACTATCTACAGTACCCTCACTATCAATCTCTCCTACTAAGCTCTGAACCCTCTCCTGAAATTTATCCCATTTAGCCTGAGAAAAGTTATATCTAGGGGCTTTCTTTTCCACTTCTCTCCTCAAATCCCTACCAAATCTGCATAAAATAGGATAATGATCACTACCCAATGTATACGAGTCTATAACATCCCATTCACCAACTCTACCTAAGTTTGACAAACTAATTGACAAATCTATATGACTGCAGGTATTTCTGACAATATGATACCTGGTTGGCCTTCCATCATTTAACACTACTAACTCATATTTATCTATAAATTCTTCTACAATAACACCATTTTTATCCCTATGATCACTACCCCATAAAGGATTATGTGCATTAAAATCTCCAATCCATATAACAGGACACCTTACCTTCTCCATTATCTCATCAAAATCTGACAATACCAAAGGTTGACAAGGGTTATAATAATTTATCACAGTAATAGAATTTTGACTGCTCCAAATCTCCACAGCCAAACACTTAAGATTGGAATTAATATCAATTCTCCTATACTGCAGCCCAATCTTAACAAAAGTTGCACAACCCCCACCTGATCTATCAGACCTATCTACTCTCAAACATTCATACCCTGGAATTACAAAATCTAGAGAAGGTTTTAACCAAGTCTCTTGAATACATATCAATTCTGGAGCTTCTTTAAATTCATCAACAAACCTTTTTAACTCCTGACCATTTCCTATTAGACTCCTGGCATTCCATTGAAGAATATGCCACATTAAGATGCTAATGAGGATCCACCTCATCCACTTCACCAACATCCTCCATACTGCTAACCCTCACCAACTGTGACCTATCCATAGGTTGACTCTCCTTCATGTATTGATGTAGCTCTTCTGGCAACTGCGTTATACCGAGGAACCTTTCAGCTGCCCCCACCACTAACCTAATAATATCTGAGTGGTTAGCTGCTTTCTTAGCTCCTACCAACACATCAGACACAAAAGACAGAAATGACTCCTTTGTAAGATTCAACATATCAGAATGAAGGTCCGACTGCAAGTTTGGAGCATTGAACTGGCAACCTGACACTGCTCTAGTACCAGATATCCCTTTTCCACATTCTCTATCCACTCTTTGAACTGCCTCTGCATACGACACCTTGTTCAGCTCCCTCACATCCTGCACCTCCTTAGCCTGAACAAATCACTCACACCCGTGAAACCCTGCCCCATGATCCCCCTCACAGTTAGGGCACTTAGGAGCCTCTGCCTTGCAACTTTGTATTATATGATCTCCACCACACTTTGCACACCTTCTTTTACCCGACAAGCCCCAGCAACATGTCCAAATCTCTGACAGTTATAGCAGTGCAATGGTGGTTTAATGTACTCTCTCACATAATACGCCATACTCCCAAGAAACACTCTCCGTGGCAGTACACTATCTATAAACGTCAACCGGACCGGCGGATCCCTTAAATCTGATCACATCAGTTACCTGGGCCCCCTTAATGTTTGATGTAATGATTTCCTTCTCAGAAGAGCCAGCAAACACTCCATACACCACTCCCTTGATTCCTTGCTGGCTTCCTCTAGGGATCAATGCCTCCACCTTGACCACCAGCTTCCCCACACATCTAGCATCATTATACTGTTTCCTGTTTTTACAACAAACTCTTAACATTCCATTAAACAATATCTTGGCCTGAAATTCTTTGCCTATCTGATTCTTTAAAGCACTGGTAATGGATTCACTGCTCTAAATCCTGCATCTCCTTGATTAGTTCCCTTAACTTTAAACAGCACGACAAACTCTTCAGTATTTCCAGTTTTCCTAACCTTATTTCCTTCATCTCCTGACATTTCAGGTCTTCCACTCGATTCCCCCCTCTTAGAGCCCCCCTTTTCCTTCACCACTGTCTGCCACCCATTACCCTCATCCCCATTCCCTGAAGCCATGAGCCTCTTAAACCCCTCCTTCCCAACCCTAATCTAAAACTAATAACTAATAATAAAAGTAAAAGAAAAAGTGTCTCAAGCTAGTTAGAACACCAGCACGTGCGCCGGCTCTGCTTCTCTCAGCGTCTCTCAATCACTCGCTCTCAGGTGAACCGACTCTCCAAGCCCTCCCGTCTTCTTCTTTCTTCTTCTGTTGATTTTAAAACCGTCTTCTTCTCCTCTTTATTTATGGCTGTCGCGCCCACTCGGATTGTAACGCGTTACCGGACTCAGTAACTGTAATAATATTACCAAAATATAGTTAGTAACGCGTTATATTACACTGGCTGCTGGACAACTGAATTTCCCTTGGGGGATAAATAAAGTATATCCTTTCCTATATATCCATACATTTTCTGCTATAGCCTAAATGTTACATTAAATAAGATATTAACATGAAGCATTAAAGTTGTTACTGCAAATGGATGTTCAATAATTATTCCATACAGATCTCAAATGTTGTGTTTGTGTAGCATGCACAGTTCTTTACTTTACGCAAGCCAACCAAATACATTGTGCTCTTTTCTTTTTTCTTTTTGGCCCACAACAACAACAACAAAAACAACAACAACAGCAGCAACAACAACAGCAGCAGCAGCAACAGCAGCAGCAGCAACAACAGACCTCTACACATCAAAGTAGGAACTTGTTTTTTTTTTATCATTCTGAAAATGTTGCATATTTCAGTTATGTTTGTTTTTCTGTTATTTATATACTGTATGTAAAGTTTGCATTCAGATAGTTATGTTATTTATTATTTATTTTATATGTTAATTTTTTAATAAAAGATTTCTTTACTGATCCATAGTTGGAGGAGCCAGAGGAACCTGATCCTTCCACAGATTATCTGTCTCATGTTCTACTGTCACGATGCAGTTTCAACAAATATGACCAAAAGTAATTTTTATTAAAGTTCCATACTGCAGCTTTAGGTTTAATGTATATTTTGGCCTTATAAAATCTTATTTTTGAAGCTTATATTACAGCTTATGATGTAACAGTGACCTGTTGCCACAGTTGCTGGCTTTTGATTGATGTTTCCTAGCAACCAATTTACTATACCAAGGACATTCCTTAAAGGTGCACTCTGCGATCTTGCATGGTTTCGATTTCATTTTTGTCTCAAATCGTAGGCATCTCTCCTTGATCCGCTAGCTGCCTGCCCCCTGAATACACTGTGAAAAAACCCGGTCTCGGGAGACAACACAGGGCTCGTAAACATCAAACAAACACTAGGGGCACAGGCTGTGCACCAAAATACAACAAACCACGTTCCAGGGGGGCGAGCTTGCTCTGTTTTGTTTGGTATTTACTTTGAACGACAACAGAAGTGACGTCATGCAGGATCACATAGTGCACCTTTAAGTTTTATTGCTACAATCTGAACTAACCAGTCTGAAACTAGCTAGTAGTTACTAAGAACACAGGAAGGATTTAGACTCAAACTCAGTGAAGAACTTATGAAGCTGGTGCAACCAGAACATCTACTGAATGGACCTTGTGGCAAGGTTGTTTGTCAGTGGATGTTAACTAGTGACAGTAAGGTGTGAAAACATCTTTAAATCATATAATGTTCACAAAGTCTAAACACCTGAGAGCAAACTGTATAAAACCTCAGTAAAACTGCATCAGTACAGAGAACAGTGGACAGTAAACCTCACTGACAGTCATTATAACTTAACCTCATATTCTGTATGCTCCACCTGTCCTCAGAATATACAACAACACGTCTGAAAAAATCCCTCTGATGAAGTTTCTGTGTGAAGAGTCTATTTGACTTCAGCATTTAACAAGAGTCACAGTGAACTACAGGGAAACACTTTATTCATCTTTTATAATGATAAACACAGAAACCAAAGATCAAACACAGAACATACAATTAAAGATTCATCTGAATTCTGTCTTAAGTTGATGTCATCAGTTATAAAGCATCTATTCTTATTGGACATGTAACAAAACAGAGAAACATCAAAGCATTCATTGTCTATAAAGTCATTCTTTATCATTCTGATTCATCTGATGAGCAGTTTAAATGATATTCAGCTTGGATTCATATTTAATATTTGCTGTGATATTTGTGATTTGGGTGTTGCAGAGAAAACAGAGTGAATGACATCTAAACATTTCATTTCACTCACAAACATCATTTTCTTTCTCATATTCAAAAGAAAACAAAGATCATCTCTAATGACCAAACAGAGCTTCCAGCTGCTGAAGTCTTTCTTTACTGAGCTGTTGTCTGTTTTAATCCGTCAATAATTACATTAATAATTAGGAACAAATACATCATATCATAAAGATTTTCTATTTTTTTATTTTTTTTACAATAATCAACTTATTTGAGGTGAAAAGGTAAAACAATAAACTTATCTACAATTATTATTGTTATTATTATTATTTTTACAATATAATGATACAACTGATTTGGCCAAACTTTTTAAGGTAACAAACCAAAAGAATCCTGTATGTTATAAATTGAACTATTATTTTCAGAAACCAGTGAACAGACCAGAGGTTTGATGATTATATGGGAGATATTATCAAATGCTCTTATTGACTTCACAGAACAAACTGACACAACACATAAAAACAAAAATGAATAATAGATACAGTTTTGTACGATGAATAATGAATTTAACAGAAACAATAAAATGTAAAACATCAAAAAAGTAAAAGTCGATATAAAAATAAACACCAGGGAGACAAATAATGTAAAAACTGATGATTAAAATCTAAAAACTAAGACTATAACATTACTCCAAAGAACTGGTATCATCTGACCCACAGTGACTGCTGCTGTGTTTCTGTTCAATGTTGAGATCATTCACTTCAGTTGTGAATCTCTTCAATAAAGTTGTAATCAGTAAAAACTCGTCTGAGATCAGCTGTGAGGTTTCTGCACCTCCACATCAACATGATCACAGTCTGAAACAAACATGAAGAGATTCTTTATATTCTGCACTCGGCTTTAGTTTCACTACCTGCTGATGAAGCCTGCAGCATCACTACTGTTGCTATGGTTACCTGCTGATGAATCCTGCAGCATCACTACTGTTGCTATGCTTTACATTACAGTGTAGTCCACTGCTGAATATTACTATGGAATCTTTCCTTCTTTAAAGTTTCACTGATTGAAACTAAATGAAAGTAGAAAAAAGGAAACTTCTGAAACTGATCTGTTGTTGTGAAGTTTACCTCGAACAAATCTCATAAAATACAACATGAATCGTCTTCATTCATCAGTTCCTGTATCAACTCATTCATTTCTTTTTCATGTTTTTGCAGCAGATTTGTCTCCTCACTTTTCGCATTCTTCGTTTCTTCTTCATGTTTTGTCAGTAACTCTCTGATTTTTTTCAGATTTCCTTTCTTTTTGGTCACACATTTCACTACGTCACAAATTTCACCTTGATATTTTTTCATTAAGTCATGAATTTCCTCTTGATGTTTCTTCTTCATTTGTTCTTCACTTTGGTCTTTAAGAGCCTGTAAGAAGTTATATTGTTGATCTTTGTCTTTCATTTGTTTCTCATGTTCTTCCTTCAGAGCTGCAGATTCCTTTTTGTATTTCTCTTTGAATTCATTGAACTCTTCAGCTTTCTTTCTGGCTTCTTCTTCATTTCTCTTCTTCAGATTCTCCAGTTTTTTCTTATAGTTCTCCTCGATGTCTTTTTTCTCTTTTTCCTCTTTTTCTCTTCTGATTCGATCCTCTTCTTCTCTTTTCTTTTCATCGTTTTCTCTTTCCTGTTCATATTCTTCTTGAAGCTTTCTCAGTTTTGTTTGTGCATCCCGTCGTATCTGTTCATTTTCTTCAAATCGTTCTTCCCACCATTCTTTTTGTTTTTTCTCCCAGTTCTCTCGTTCTTTTCTCATCTCTTCTCTGCTCTCCTCCAGCTTTCTATCAATGGTTTCCTTTGATTCTGACTCTGATTTTATTTTTTCCTCCAAAGCTTCAACTTTCTGTTTCCACTCCTGTCGTTTAATTTCTTCCTGTTGTTTTCTCTTCCTGTCTTCTTCTTCTCTCATTTCCTGTTCTTTCTTTCTCTCCTCACGTTCCTTTTTGATGTTTTCCTCCTTTTCTTCAAGTTGTTTTTCTCTCAGTTTTCTCTCCTTTTCAATTTCTGCTCTCTGTTCTTCTTTCTCTTTTTCCTCTTGTTCTTTTCTGAGTCGATCCTCTTCTTCTCTTTTCTTTCTATCGTTTTCTCTTTCCTGTTCGTATTCTTCTTGAAGGTTTTTCAGTTTTGTTTGTTCCTCCCGTCGTCTCTGTTCATTTTCCTGAGTTTGTTTTTTCCACCATTCTTTTTGTTGTTTCTCCCAGTTCTCTCGTTCTTTTCTCATCTCTTCTCTGCTCTCCTCCAGCTTTCTATCAATGGTTTCCTTTGATTCTGACTCTGATTTTATTTTTTCCTCCAAAGCTTTTTGTTTCTCTTTCCACTCCTGTTGTTGAATTTCTTCCTGTTGTTTTCTCTTCCTTTCTTCTTCTTCTCTCATTTTCTGTTCTTTCTTTCTCTCCTCACGTTCCTTTTTGATGTTTTCCTCCTTTTCTTCAAGTTGTTTTTCTCTCAGTTTTCTCTCCTTTTCAATTTCTGCTCTCTGTTTTTCTTTCTCTTTTTCCTCTTGTTCTCTTCTGATTCGATCCTCTTCTTTTCTTTTCTTTTCATAGTTTTCTCTTTCCTGTTCGTATTCTTCTTGAAGCTTTTTCATTTTTGTTTGTTCCTCCTGTCGTCTCTGTTCATCTTCTTCATATCGCTTTTCCCACCATTCTTTTTGTTTTTTCTCTTCATTCTCTCGTTCTTTTCTCATCTCTTCTCTGATTTCCTCCAGCTTTCTTTTAGTGATTTCTTTTTCCTCTAATTCTGATTTTATTTTTTCTTCCAAAGCTTCAACTTTCTGTTTCCACTTCTGTTGTTGAATTTCTTCCTGTTGTTTTCTCTTCCTGTCTTCTTCTTCTCTCATTTCCTGTTCTATCTTTCTCTCCTCACGTTCCTTTTTGATGTTTTCCTCCCTTTCTTCAAGTTGTTTTTCTCTCAGTTTTCTCTCCTTTTCAGTTTCTGCTCTCTGTTCTTCCATTCTTCTTTTCATTTCTTCCATTTCTTCCTCATGTTTTCTTTGAAGCTCCTCCCTCTCTCTCTTCATCTCTTCTTCCTTCTCCTTCAGGATTCTCTCCATTTCTTTCTTTATTGATGCTTCGGCCTCTTGCAGCAGCTCATTAGTGTAGCAGCTGCCTCCATTTTCCTTCACCATGGTGTCAATCTTGGTTATCAGCTCACTGACCTGTGTGCGTTTGTGTTTATCTTTGTTATTAAACACATGGTATCTTCCTCCACAGTCAGAGATCAGCTTCTTAAAGGAATCATCACACTTCTCTTCAATGTACTCATCGATCGACAGCTCCTCATCTTCCAGTGTATCTCCTCCAGTTAAAAGAATGATGGTAAACTTCTCAGAATTCTTCCCAAATCCTTCCTTGATAAGTTTTAATGTCTCCTTCTCCTCTGGTGTAAATCTGCCGATGTGTAACACCAACAGGAAGACATGTGGTCCTGGAGCCAGAAGACTGATGCATTTCACCATCTCCTCATGAACTTCTTCATGAGACAAACTATTGTCAAACAGACCAGGAGTGTCGACCACAACCACCTGACGACCATCGACTTCACTCTGTTCTTTCTGACAGTGTTTAGTGACTGATGTTTGGCTCGATTCAGCTTTAAACCCTTTTCTTCCTAGAATGGTGTTTCCTGAAGAGCTCTTTCCACAGCCAGTCTTCCCTATCAGCACAATCCTGAGACACTCTGGACTCCGTTCTTCATCATCACCTGTGAAATATAAAGACCAGGAGTTAATTTAAATATTCAGAGTTGGAACAGTATAAACTAACACTGTAATGTAGCAGATAATGTAACACATTTTACACAGAACAGAAAATAAAATGTATAAGCAAATTACTTACCACTGATCTTGTTCTTCTTTATCAGCCTCTCAAGTTGTATTTCTTTATCCATTTGTGCATGTGTAAATGTGTCAGTCGTATAGCAGTGTGGTTTATTAATATTTTTTTCCACCATGTCCAACAGCTCTGGGATCTGCTGCTTGTCCTTGATGTTGAGAACAACATATCTTCCTCCACAGCTCTGACGGAGCTCCTGGATGTCTCTGTTTTCTTCCACAAAGTTAACAACAGCTGGAGCTGTAGGATCTGAGTCCACAGTGAACAGAATGATGGTGAAGTCATTGACTCGAGAGCTGAATGTGTTCTGGATGGTCTCTAACTCTCCCTTGTCTTCATCAGTGAGGGGACCCACAGGTAGGACCAGGATGAAGGCATGGACACCCTCAGGATCACAGAGGGAGATACTCCTGAGTGATTCCTCCATCACTGCCTCCTGAGGTTCTCCATACAAGGCAGGCAGCTCCACCAGGGAAACCCAACGTCCACACACCTCTCCCCGATGTTTAACACACTCTGATGAGTTGGAGACTGAATGAAACTCTGTCTGACCTAAAATGGCCTCGGCTGCTGAAGTCTTCCCTGCTCCTCTCCTCCCACACAGAACCAGGTTTAAAGCTGGTTTGATGAGTTCAGACTTTGGTCTTATGGTCTCTTCAGTGAAGGTGAGGAAGGTTCCTTTGTTTACATGCACAATGCTCTCAATCTTCTGCATTAACAATGTGTGGTTGTCTTCAACCATGTTGTATTGTCTTCCTCCACAGTCTATAAGAAGCTGATTCACAGAGATGCGTTTATTCCCCTCATGTGTCATGATGACCATTGAGTATTTTAAAGCATCTTGACCAAACAAACTCAGGATGAACTTCAGTGTTTGTCTGTTCTCCTCAGTGAAATCAGAAGGTTTCACTAACAGCAGAAGAACATTTGGTCCAGGAGGACACAGAGTCACACAGTTCTTCATCTCTCTTCTCAATGTCTCCTCAGACAGACTGAAGACGTTTGGAGTTTTCACCACTATTAATGGTTTTCCTCCCCACTCTCGATTGGCTATCACAGAGTGTGTGACTGAGGACAGTTTTTGGTAATGGAAAGCTTGGTCCCCAATGATGAAGTTACCAAGTTTTGTCTTTTTGTCGTCACTTTTTCCCAGCAGCACAATCCTGAATCCAGATGCTGTAATACAATAGAGAGAAAGATAAAATTTCATAAACTCACTGTGAGGCTGAAATCACTTGGCTGACCTGAGGAGATCTCTGCAATCATCTACAGACTTGACTAATGTTCTTTTCATGGTCTGCTTTTTTATTGTGTAGTCAGTTTCTCATGTTTTACTCTCTGCTTTATTTTGAAGTCACCTCTCCCTCTTGTTTCTGATGGGTTCACTTCCTGAATTTATGTGTCTTCCCGTCATTTGTAACGTGTCTAATCACCTGTAGAGTGTATATATCCCTTGTGTTTCTTCCCCTCATTGGCAGTTCATCTTTGTATTCTCGTGTCTAGAATTTAAGTCTTTTGTCCTTGTGTCGTTTGTTACCCTGGTTTGTGGATTACTACCTGTTGTTTGACCCTGCATGTGCCCATTTTGGATTTGGATTCGTGTGTACTGTAGCTTTTTCTCTGGCAAATAAAGACTGTGATTCTAAATACCTGTATACTGCCTTGCATTTGGGTCCCATTTTCTTGGAATCTTTGGTTTTAACAACCACTTAATTTGTCATTGTGGATTGAAAAGTTACAAATCACGCACCAGTATGTACCATTTCCTGGATAGTTTTAGGAAAAAGCAGCATCACATTTTCCCTAAAATGTATTTTGCAAATGCAAAGTACCAAAATATGAATGTAACAGATAAATAAAGATACACGGTACCCATTTAGATAAAGATACTAATGTGACAATATTTTAAATAAATGTTATATTATTATATTGCTTTTCAATAGTGAAAGAATTTGTGGAATTCTTTTGGGTTCAGGGAAGAAATAAACATGTGATCAAAAATCTTTCTCCAAAGGCAAATGATTAACACTGAATTTACTTACTGTGAGCCGAAGGCTTTCTCCATGAGAGTGAGAATTGTGGAAGTATTTTAACAATATGTAGCCCTGTAAAAATTACCATAATTAATTAGCAGCTCAATGCTTTAATCAAAGATTTGTCTGAACAAAGTTTTCATTGTCAGAATAGTTTTTGCACTTACCAGCAGCTTTAACTGCATCTCTGATATAAGTGTGAGTTTCCTTCTGTTTTGGACTTTGATGATGACCTGGTAAAGTTGATGTTGAGTCCTTAAATACATCACAGCTGACATATTCTCCATTATTCTCCTTCACAATTTGACCCAAGCGTGTTAACAGCTCTGAACGTTCAAGGTTCTTCTGCCTCAAATATCTGTATCTACATTTTCTGATCATGTCTTTTAATGGAGGACGTTCCAGGTATTTTTCCATCAACCCTGGACTCTCCTCTCTGGGTGTTGATATCAGAACCAGAGAATGATCAAATGATTGATCACTGAAGAGTTCAAGGATTGATTGTAGTCTCAGTTTGTGTTCCTCAGTGAAGTCTTCAGGCTGTAGAACCAGCAGGAACACATGAGGTCCAGGATCAGAGAGTCTCACACAGTCTTTCACATGTTCTGTCAGTTTGTGTTGAGAGATGTTGGGATGCAGCAGATCTGGAGTGTTGATGACAACTATTTCTTTCCCCTTCAACTGCACTCTTTCTCTCAGGAAGCAGTCTGGTTCTTCCTCAGTGTTGAACTTAGTCTCTCCCAGTATGAAGTTCCCCACTGAACTCCTCTCAGACCAGCTGTTCCCCAGCAGAACAACCCTCAGCTCAGACACTGAAAAGATAACAGTGAATTAGAAAAACCTTCTCAGTGTAGACCTCATCCAAAGTCAATACAATAACATTGTATATAGCCAATTATAACCAGCTTTTTTAAGGTGGAATTCAGTGAATGTGTCACTGTTCTCATAAAAACAAATTCCCCAATGAGCTTCAAATAGAAGAAAATGTGAATTTGTACCCTCAACCAACACCCACTGGGTAACACTTTATATTAAGGTACACCAATTCACCATTAATTAGTTGCTTATTAGCATGCAAATTAGTAACATATTGGCTCTTAAATAGCATTATTAAGTACTTATTAATGCCTTATTCTGCATGGCCTTATTATACAACCAGTAAGCCATTAACTAAGAGTTTTCCCTCAATAACCTCAGAATTATTGCTTATTAGTAGTAAGTTAAGAAGTTGTTGTATATGAATTACAATCCCAATATGCTTTGCTTAGTATGGACTTTATAAGCTGGTAGTACCACAAGAATAGTTATTCTCCCTTAATAACACTTAATGAATATGGTCTGTTCTTACATAACAAAACACAAAACTACAAGTGTTAATAGTGTCCAAATAACTCTAAATTAAGTCTTTGTTACTTAGAATATGTTCCCCATACTAAAGTGACATCTTGATCATTACTAATTCACTAATAGTTGAACACTTATTAACCAACACATGTTCCCTAATCTAAAGTTGCCTCCTTTTCACACTTAGTTAATATATTATAGCACATAACTACTGCAATGAACAAGTGATGGGTTAAACCATTGAAAACAATGGATCTATCTATAGGTTCCCTCTCATTCAGTGGTAGAATAACAAAGACAAAAAAGATAACTTAGCCTTGATAAAAAAACAAATATCATAATAATGACTTACCATGGGGATTTTTTTTAAAATCAAGGCTAAGTTATCTTTTTTTTTCCCCTGGCGGGAATGGGCTTCCACAGTGAACAGCCTGCCAGTCCTACATCAAAAAAAGTGCAAAGTGACCCACTTTGTAGAGTAATGACTGACATAACAATCTACCAATCCGTAGCCGTGCTCCTCCGATGTGTTGCTCTCATCCAATCATTGACTGTTACTATGCTGTCATGTGACATCCTCATCCAATCATCCAAATGGAGCGACCAGTCATGTCAAAGATCCGGAGAAGGTGGCTAATGGCTATTTGCCGTTTCGTTCAGCTTGGAGAGTGAAGAGGGAACTTCGTGTGACAAAAATGGAAAGTTAAGCGCTAGCCAGTTAATTGAAACTCCCCCTGAGTTTTGTAAGCACATCATAACACCCGTCCCCGGCTGTTTACATAGTTAAAGAGTAGTAAACCCTCCTATTTATCTGCAGTGTAGAGGCTAATTAGCTAATGTAATGTTAAGCTAGCCGAGGGTGAACAGTAGGAAAGAAACAGAAACATTAACATTACCATTAACATTAACATTAACATTACCATTATCATTAACATTAACATTACCATTAACATTAACATTAACATTACCATTATCATTAACATTAACATTACCATTAACATTAACATTAACATTAACATTAAAAGTACCATTAACATTAACATTAACATTACCATTAACATTAAAAGTACCATTAACATTAACATTAACATTACCATTACCATTACCATTAACATTAACATTACCATTACCATTACCATTAACATTAACATTACCATTAACATTACCATTAACATTGACATTAACATTACCATTAACATTAACATTACCATTAACATTAACATTAACATTAACATTAACATTACCATTAACATTACCATTACCATTAACATTAACATTAACATTACCATTACCATTAACATTAACATTAACATTAACATTAACATTACCATTACCATTAACATTACCATTAACATTAACATTACCATTACCATTAACATTAACATTACCATTAACATTAACATTAACATTAACATTACCATTAACATTAACATTACCATTACCATTACCATTAACATTAACATTACCATTAACATTGCCATTACCATTACCATTACCATTAACATTACCATTACCATTAACATTAACATTAACATTACCATTAACGTTACCATTAACATTACCATTAACATTAACATTAACATTACCATTACCATTAACATTAACATTACCATTAACATTAACATTACCATTAACATTAACATTAACATTACCATTAACATTAACATTAACATTACCATTACCATTAACATTAACATTACCATTAACATTAACATTAACATTACCATTACCATTAACATTAACATTACCATTAACATTACCATTAACATTAACATTAACATTAACATTACCATTAACGTTACCATTAACATTACCATTAACATTAACATTAACATTACCATTAACATTAACATTACCATTAACATTAACATTACCATTAACATTAACCTTACCCTTAACATTACCATTAACATAAAATGTGAATGTAGGTGCATGTAATGCTTTAGTATGAACCACATTTTGTAATGAAAAATAAAGTATGCACTATGCAGTCATTAGAGCAAGAAGAGCTTTTGAATCTTGTGTAGATTATTTAAGTTACATTTTGTCATTTCATTCATTTCACATTTGTGACATGAATGATCTGGATGGTAAATATTTGTCAACTTTCAAGGAACTTTAATACTTAAATAATTAGCTTGTCCAAATGTGTTTAAACATTTAAAGTCCTCTATTCATATGTTGATTTTGTTGTACCTATGCCATACTGTAGGTCCTGAAGATAAAGGAAGCTCTGCTCCAAGTTGCAGCAGTATTAGCAGCATTGGATCAGGTAATGATTTCTCCTTTTCTACCAGTGTATCTTTGTTGTCTAAAATTACAGAGTTTCATTTCTTGCTAGTGATTTTTTTGCCTGGGATTAAAGTTGTTGGCAGATTTTGTCAGTATACATGTGCTTACAAATCAAGTTAAGGCACACACCATATCTGGTCCACTACCTCTGTTGCATGCATGTCTCCAATGGCAAGAAAAAATAATAAAGGATCCTGAGCAAGAGCGCAATTTCTTGCGTGAGCAAATCATGGGAAAGAAGAAATCATGTGAGTGATTTGGGAGCAACTTGTATCTGCAAAATATAATGTAATTGTAATGAAAGGTGTGATATATCTTCATAACAATCTGAGCTTTGTCTCATCTATCCTCTTTGATCAAACCTCAACCAAAAGTATTTACTTTGGAGGACGATGATGAGGATGACAATGGCAATATGGATGAAGATGACGTCATTCCCCCATCTTCTCATCAGTGAGTCCTCGGACAGTGATGTTGTCATCCAGAGACGGAAGACACGTCGGACACACAATTATTAATAAAAGCGTTGGAAGAGCTGTTAAAAATATGTTCTGAAGTAATTATGAGGCAAAAATACAGATCTTCAGTTCTAGATTCTGAATATACTAGGAATTTGATGATGAATAAAAATTAAATGTCTAACGTCAAAAATGTGGCTTTCATCAAGAATAAAGCTCCATTTTATTTTGCAGCATTCACACTAATTATTATTCAACGTCAAATGTATTGCTAGAAAGATTTGTCTCAGAAGTAAACATAATTCTAAACTGTAAGACTTACCAACTAAACTTACAGAGTATCATTTCTGTATTGAATTCTGAACCACATATTGTGCATGGAATCATATCAGGAGATGAGCAGATTGTCCAATTCCTAGAATATGCTTCATACTTTTATCAAAGGAGAGGTGACCAGTTTAAGCAATTTCAGCAGACCTTAAACCGTTGTTTGTGCTCATTTCTCGTGTTCTTTTGTTTTTGTTTTATATATTTTTCAGTGAAAGGGCCAGCTGAGGTTATCAGCAGATATAAAAAAGTCTTCAAAAGCTTAAGTAAAGTCCGCACCATGACTGAAGCCTTCAGAATCAATGGTGTGGACCAGGGAACCATCAAGATGACTGCTGCAATTGCAGAGCTCAACATTGTGGAACCTGAAACCTTCAAGACCCTGAAGTATGATCCTGCAACGGAGACCCTGAAGTCCTTTGCTAAGAGATGTGCAACCCACATTGCCCCGGAGAAGAAGAGCATTATAGAGGACATGAAGGCCAAATGCCAACTCCTCCCCTTGTTGATGATGAATATTTAGACCTGATGCAGTAATTATAGAGCAAGTTTAGGCTGTGAAAGTGCAATGTTTGTACAGTTCAGTACATTTGTTCTAAGCATTGACAAGTGTAGTTTAGCTGATAAAGAGCAAGTTCATGTTGAGCTGTGCAGGTTTTAGATTTTTTAGATTGTTCAATATTTTGTATTTTTGTCCTTAATATTGTGCGGTATTTTATATTGTGCTGTTTTTTGTAAGCAGGCACAAGAGTATGTGTATTATCATACAGTATGACCTGCTTATACATTTGATACCATATTGTATGACATGTTTATATACACTGATACTTGTCAGTGTTTGAATTTTCAGGCAGACCCCATTACCTGTAAATTAAACTACTCAGAAAGTTCACGCAGTATTTGTTGTCAGCCTTGGGAAAACCTGAACCAGTAGTTTAATAAATGAGGTATTTGTACTTGTGCTCTTTGTTATTCTACCACTGAATGAGAGGGAACCTATAGATAGATCCATTGTTTTCAATGGTTTAACCCATCACTTGTTCATTGCAGTAGTTATGTGCTATAATATATTAACTAAGTGTGAAAAGGAGGCAACTTTAGATTAGGGAACATGTGTGGGTTAATAAGTGTCCAACTATTAGTGAATTAGTAATGATCAAGATGTCACTTTAGTATGGGGAACATATTCTAAGTAACAAAGACTTAATTTAGAGTTATTTGGACACTATTAACACTTGTAGTTTTGTGTTTTGTTATGTAAGAACAGACCATATTCATTAAGTGTTATTAAGGCAGAATAACTATTCTTGTGGTACTACCACCTTATAAAGTCCATACTAAGCAAAGCATATTGGGATTGTAATTCATATACAACAACTTCTTAACTTACTACTAATAAGCAATAATTCTGAGGTTATTGAGGGAAAACTCTTAGTTAATGGCTTACTGGTTGTATAATAAGGCCATGCAGAATAAGGCATTAATAAGTACTTAATAATGACTATTTAAGAGCCAATATGTTACTAATTTGCATGCTAATAAGCAACTAATTAATGGTGAATTGGTGTACCTTAATATAAAGTGTTACCAAACACTGTAATTAAAGATGTTAATGTACAGAAGAATAACTCTGAGTTCAGTTTAACTCACTGTTAGGTGGCAGCCATTGTAAGCTGCTGCTCCGTTTCAGTGGTTGCAGATCATCTGTCACTGTAAAGATACAGAACACTGATTCACTCACATGTAATCTTTAATTACTGGAAGAACATATTATTTAACATTGTTGATTATTTTGTAAGTTTATTCTAAAGTGTGTTTTACTTGTTCGAGTATAAATCAGACGTGTGGGAAGAGATTCTGCCTTTGATCCAGACAGAAAGTCTGAAGATTAAAGAAACATATGCAGAAGATTGAACATCTTTAGGAAACATTTGAATATTTTATTACAGAATTCTGATAACTTAGGGGATGATCAGAATTGATTATACAAGGTGGCAGATTCAGATACAGAAATACTATTCTTACCCTGAAACAATTACACAATACTTTACTTAGATTTTAATTAAATAGTACGGAGCCTTAAAAGATCAAATATATCATAAAATACAAAATATTATCTCACACATTTTTTTATTATCGTGCACAATTTAAGGTGTCGTCAGTGAGTTCTTGACTCACTCACACCCCTCGGTAATGAGCCTGAGGGGAATTTGAGCTAAAACAAGTTTTCTTTTAATGTAAGTGAAATGTGTGATGAACAAATGATAGAAATTGAAAGTCTGTGAAACATGTTTGACTGTGATCATAAATCATGCTGGAAAACACCATCAGTCTTGAAATAAATAATAATTAAAAATAATTAGCTGCACAAGATCTGCTTCTGCTAATTCTGTGCTGCTCAGTTCTTGTTCCACACATCAGCTACAGAGTAGAAATATAGATATAGTTATTATAACACTAAGATCAGAGCGCAAACTGATGAACAACATGATCTGACTGATTAGTGTTGCAATATTTACTGATGAGTTAGCACACAAATTAAATTGACATCACAGTTTACCACAAGTCCACAAGAGCGTTGCTATGGTAACAGTGATCATAATAATGAACCCAAAACAACCTTTATTCAGTGGATATGGAGCTCTATTGGTGCAGGGATGGATAATAATTCAATTCAATTCAATTCAATTCAATTTTATTTGTATAGCGCCAATTCATAACAGAAGTTATCTCAGGACATTTTTCAAATAGAGCAGGTCTAGACCGAACTCCTTAAAATGAGAATAATAAAGTGAACTAACCTGCTGCTGCAGTCGCCATGACGTCACTCATGGCAAATCTGAAGAGAGGAAGTACATTTTTTACAACACACACACACACAAACACCAAAGCCTCCAAAACAGAGCTGTATGGCTTGTGTGTGTGTTAATAACGGTCTTAAGATATAAATCTTATATAAATTCTGTGATGACAGGTTTGTTCCTTTAAAAGAAATCGTTAAAAGAAAACCACATTACTTCCTCCTCCTCTCATAATCTGTAAAATGGCGTCTCATCCCATCGGCCTAAAAGTTTCTAGAAACTTTATTCCCAGTGTGTCAGTAAATCTCCTCATTCCAGAGAGATTGTACAGATTAAACACTGAAAACATATGAGGAGCTCTCGGTTGAGCCCAGAACACACAGACCTGATCGATCATTAATTATTAACTAGTTTTGCTCCAGTTCACTCACCTGCTGGACTTCCTGCTGCAACACAACCATCAGTGAAAGTGAAAGTAAAAAACACTCACTGCAGTCAAACAGGAAGAGGCACTCCCTGATACGTAACGTAGACACTGCGTCTGCGCGGTCGCCATATTGAGGAGGTCGAGATCCAGCTGTTAACAATACTGAGAGATTCAGACCTCACAACAAAATCAAAATTTATACTGTGGGTGGACTGAACACTTGATGGTTATTAATTACTGACAGGTGTACACCCATTGGCCAGCTAATCAATATTTAAATTCAATATTTAATCAATAGGGTAAAGAGACTAAGGTGCACAACAACAGTTGATCTCTTTTCCTAGTTCCTGTCTGTAGTTAAAGGCTTACAGGTCACATGGTTTCACAGCAACCTCCATCAATTTCATTGGACAGTATCTGAGTATGTCAGGAGCCTAATAATTGGTATATTGGCTCCTTTAGTTTTCTACTAGTTCATGTGTGAGTGTTCATGGATGTGTTCAACAGTTGTCTTGCTGGCTGTATAGGAGGTTATGTGTGTCACTGAATATGTAAGCATGCTTTATTTGTGCCTTCCCTTTAAACATTGGTTGAATAAATATTTAATGAATTAATGTGTTATTTGACTCTCCATGTGGCCAGCAGACAGTGCCAGTAGGAGGTCTAAGTAATCTGTAACTTTAAACATGCCACGTTCTCACTGTAATGTGGAATTAACATGTGCTACTAGTTATATAATAATATATATAATATATTTAATTATCATTATTCTTTTGTGACAATTTGAGATAATTATGATTTAATCCTTAGTTAATACTACAAACAGCTCTTTTAGTTTAGAGAGTACTGTATCTATCTTATATTGCATTAATAGCAGAATTTACAGGACTGTGTAGGGTTGTAATATGTAGTGTATTAGATTATAGTTAACTGTATCAGTGTCTGTTATTCTGTAATTCTAGAAACCACATGCTCCAGTGTAACCCTGTACACCCAGTAAAGCACAAAAACCCCTTGAAGCATCTTCTACTGTATTCTAACTGAGAGAGAAGTATAATTATGGTCTTTTTTAAAAGTATGTGTGCCTCTGAGTGCCATCACTGGAAAAGCACTGGAGTTTAATTTCCTTTTCTTGCACACGCATATGAATGTGCTCTCACACGCATGTGTAGTTTGTTTATTGTAAAATATTTGTTTGTTTTCTTTTTTACACATGAGGACAATAAGCAAGCAATCGAGCCAGCAACGAGCACCAGTACTGAACAGACCAAACACTCAACACAAAGTCTCAGATCAGCTGTGGAAGACACACAGAGACAGAGAGCTGCACTGTCCTGGTATGTGGGGCTCTACAAGCTATAATTCATTGTGGCCCTCTGTTCGAGTATAGTGTGGTGTTTTGTTTTGCCTCTGCCCTGCTCTCTGAGTGCCCTGCTCCAGGTACTGGTAATAGTTCATCAGTCAGTCCAACCAGCTTTAAAACAAAGACAGCAGCCAGCAGACGAGGCCTGTGGGCCAAACCACGAAACAGTTTATTGCTCCTCTCACCCCTGGATTTTATATCTGAGGTTGTAACAATTAATAACAAATAGACTCAAAGAATCAATAATACCATATCTGCTGTCCACTAAGAAACAAGTTGATACTGAAGAAGGGTTTAATACAGAAAGACATACAGGATGACAAGATAAACAGATACATTAGAGCTCAGAGGTGTTTCAGTTGTTGCCCAATTTATCTTCCTGTCTCTAAACCCCCGATTTAAAAGAAAAACTCTTTATTTTTGGGTCTGAGAGGGTGATTTTGTAAATTGTCAGATTTTATGAATAGAATCTGGTTTTTATGTGATTTCCTCCCAAAGCCAGAAACATAATGGAGAGTTTTCTGTCTGATTTATTGTTAAAGAATACAACAGCTGACATGAAGGAACATAAATGCACCTACAGCAGGCGCTATAAATAATGTGTGTTATTAATGTGCATCAGACTGTAATATACAGCATACTGTCAATGTTCAGACTACAACAGCGCCCTCCTCCATACACTGCTCATAGGCTGACACCTGCTGGTGACTTTATGGAACTGCAGCTGACAGTTGGAGTGAAAATAATTTAGTTTGTTGGGCTCAGAGTTCTGTTGGATTGCCCCTCTCGCTTGATGATTTCTAACTTTAATAACTGAGATGGACACTGTTTGGTTGTTTATTGAGAAAATTCTGAGCTCAGAACACAATAATTCTCCCAAATCAACTCTTTTATGGAAACTAAACTTCCCTGAAATCTTGGCAGAGAACATTTGGTCAGACTCTAACAAATTCCTCATTCCACATAAAATGAAAGAAGTTTACATGAAGATATTACTTAGATACCACCCTTTGTAATAAATGATGAAATACATTTAAAATCAATATTTCTCAGTTATGTTCTTTGTGTAAAACAGAAATCAAATCTATTCCTCATCTATTCTAAAGGGACTCACAAGAGTTCTGGATTGAAGCTGCTCTATTTATGTTTTTTATGCTTTATGACTGTATATAGTTTGTTTATTATGACTGTATATAGTTTTGTATTAATGGAACATGAATGAGTGCAGAGAGAGAGAGGAAGAGAGTAGCTCAGTGCACCATGGGAAATCCCCCGATAGTCTAGGCCTATAGCAGGATAACTAAGGGATGGTTCAGGACTCACCTGATCCAGCCCTAACTATAAGCTTTATCAAAGAGGAATGTCTTAAGCCTACTCTTGAATGTGGAGAGGGTGTCTGCCTCCCGAACCACAACTGGAAGCTGGTTCCACAGGAGAGGAGCTTGGTAACTGAAGGCTCTGGCTCCTGTTCTACTTTTAGAGACTATAGGAACCACAAGTAGCCCAGCATTCAGAGAACGTAGTGTTCTAGAGGGGTAATAGGGTACTATGAGCTCTTTAAGATATGAAGGGGCCTGACCATGAAGAGCTTTATAGGTGATAACAAAACAGTTATCGGAAGCCCCTTTAACATAAACATGTATTATAAAACGTTTACACCGACAGAAGTGAATGTATTAAAGTATTTTAACGGAGTGTGTTACAGACCAACACACCAACGGGACGCATTAACAGGAACTGGACACCAATATTGGGGTGCACCGGTCAGGTTTGCAGGAGCTCCACAAGATGGCGCCCGTGGCACACAAATAAGAGTGTGTTCACAGCCTACATCACAAACACTAACAGGATAAAGTAGTTCTGAGCTTAATGGTAAAATATAGCAGTGATTAATAAAATATAAATGAACAGTGGTTATGGTAATAAGTAACAGTTAATTATGGTTTTTTGCATTACAGTTGTGCAGAGTGAACTGTGGAGGGAGGGATGAGGAGGTTGTTGAGCGCTTTGCACATTTTCCCTCTGAAAACTTTTTACTTTCACTTTCTAATCTTTTGTGTCAGGAGACGGAACGGCAGACGGATTTCAGCCTAAAGGTACATTTGAAAAATGAAATAGAATAAACTACTAACGCATCGATTGTAGTCTATCTATCATCTGACAGATTATTCTAGATCCATAACTGAATATTCACCAGCACGAGGCTGTAAGTTGACATATAGACTACTGGAAGATCATTCGTCCTCAGGTGGATGTTCAAGTGTTTATAGCTTGTTATAATCCAAGTATCATACTTTGTTTGTTCACTCAAACAGCGACAGACAGAAACAGAGAATCACTGTCAGCTTTAGAGAAATGATTTCATGTAGATTTGCAGGTTAAATGGCAACGGACAGAAACAAACTCAGGCGGAGAAAAAGATGTATATCATTCCAGTTTGTTCTAAAGTACAGATATGTTTGTAAAACTTTAATTGTGAGAATCAATCTGAGATAAGTTGTCTGTGTTTTTATCACTTTAATATCAACTTTATATGTCGCCATTTTAGATTGCAGTAGGCGTTGTTGAACTGAAAAACCAGAAAGAGAAGTTACATAACCATAAAGTTACTGAGTTTAGTTCATTATCTTCAGAGGCCATACTGAACTAACAGCTATATTCTTAATTTATATCTGTAGATCTGTTACACCTGGGATTCATTATAATGTATCACACATTAAATAGCCATAAATCTTACATTTTAGGGAGTTTTTCTTTCTCACAGGCTTTCACATTGTTGTCAGCTGTAATCAGAGGTTGCTAGTTTGAATCCCCACTGAGGTTGTGAAGCTGACTGACACTCTGCAGTTTGCTCTGTACAAACATTTTGCTGTGTGAATGAGTAAGATCATTTCAATTCTAATTCTTCTTCCTTCAGGTTGTTAAAGCAGCAGTTGGTCTTCAGTTGAATGAGTCTCTGATGTTTCCAGCACACTGACATCATGGCGGCTGCAGCACCAGGTGAGTCCAGTCACACTTTATTAGTCTGGATAAAACACTGTCTTCTCTCTCTGTCCACATATTATAAATATAAGAAAAGCACAGCAGTCCTCAGACCTTAAATCCAGTCTGTGAGCCCTTGCATCACAGTAAATTCCACTGCCAGTTATATACTGAAGAGCTTTGTCTTTGACATTTATTTTATTTTTAGAGAAACAAGTTGCTCACTCAAAAAAGTTGACAAGAAAATAATAAATTAGAAATAAATAATACAAAAAATATAATATAAATAGCCTACACAAAGTATAAAATTTAACTACCTACAAAATAAAAACTAAACAAATGATAAAATTTAGGTAGACAGCAGCAGGAAGGAAGGACCTACGATATCTCTCCTTCACACATTTGGGGTGAAGGAGTCTGTCACTGAAGGAGCTGCTCAGTGTACTCATGGTGTCCTGCATGGGGTGGGAGACATTGTCCATCAGTGATGATAGCTTTGTTATTATCCTCCTCTCTCCCACCACCTGCACTGAGTCGAGGGGGCAAACCAGGACAGAGCTGGCCTTCTTGATCAGTTTGTCGAGTCTCTTCCTGTCGACTGCTGAGATACTGCTGCTCCAGATGGCCCAGGATTTGCAGGAGGTGGATTTAGATATTTCAACAGCGCATCTGAAGAGAGGAGAGTGACACCGTTGGGTGTTACAGTCTAATAATAAAAGAAATGATTCCAAGAATTAAATTAAATAATAAAATGAAAAACCTAAGAGATGCATTACTTTCCCTGTACTGTACATGAAGGATATACAGTGCAATTTCTTCTGTTATGTAATTAGATTAGATTTAATCTTATTGTCATTACAGTGAAATGCTGATGAATGTAAAGAAGCAGTAAACTGCAGTATAATATAACATATGGGAATGTATTAACATTAATAATGTGCACTTTAACATGGATGTAAAGTTTAACACTATAAACACACTTTAGACAATACTGAACTGTAACACAACAAACAATAAGGCTTCCAACTCTAATATATAAAGGTGTGTGAAAGGAAAAGCATCTGACTGACTGTTACAAGCAGAGCAAACGTTAACTAACCAATAATAAATACAAATAATGGAAACAGCTGCTGAATAGATCTACTCTTTACAAATGTCCCTGAGCAATATAAGGTGGGAGTATTATATATATTATATATTATATATATTATAGGCTCCTCCGCTATTTATTGATTAGCAAACCATGTTAGGCTAAAGGTTACTATCGTTCTGCAACAGATAAATCATTTCATCACATTATCTTCACTCTACCTCTGTCTTTGTCACGGTTTTCCTCCTCTTCTTTTCTTTCTTTCCTTCCCTGGGCACCAGAAAGTTTTGGTGGTTTTGACATTGTTAATGGTTTCTGGGGTGACGTCAGAAAAACTCAACCATCTCTCAGAGAGCAGGTGGGGGGGGGGGGCTTAATAAAGTCTGATTATTATTTAATAGGCTTTGCTATGCAGTTAAATTAATGTGGGCTTATTTTTGACTGGATCACAGTCTCTGTTCAATCAGCTTTATATCACATACTGGTGTTTTATTGTACAGTATCTTCATCACACACACTACATACAGAATACAGACATACAGTTTATCATTATACACTAATCTTTTTAATTTATAGAAAAAACTCTACCTACTGACACTGTCAGTGTGATCAAATAAGTAATTGAATGCTGTTTCCTTCCAATCACAGATGATCTACATCCTCTGAAGCGAAGTAGCAGCTTTGAACTCCTGCCACCTGACAGTGAGTATAACTGAACTGTATTCCTGCTATTTAAGAATATTTACAGTATTTTGTAGCATCATAGCACATTTACTTACACATGTGTACTTTTCATCATGGCTAATGAAAAACAACAAACATCAACAGCAATGAAAGTAGAAATGAAGTCTGCTTTTATCTTTTTTCCACATTTTCTATATCTTTGTTTTTCAGTGTCTGAGCTGAGGGTTGTTCTGCTGGGGAACAGCTGGTCTGAGAGGAGTTCAGTGGGAAACTTCATACTGGGAGAGACTGCGTTCAACAATGCACCTGAATGTTGTCTGCAAATCAGTGGACCATTGGAGGAGAAAAGAGTAGTTGTGATTAACACTGAAGATCTGCTGCATCCCAACATCTCTCAACACAAACTGACAGAACATGTAGAAAACTGTGTGAGACTCTCTGATCCTGGACCTCATGTGTTCCTGCTGGTTCTACAGCCTGAAGACTTCACTAAGGAACACAAACTGAGACTACAATCAATCCTTGAACTCTTCAGTGATCAATCATTTGATCATTCTCTGGTTCTGATATCAACACCCAGAGAGGAGAGTCCAGGGTTGATAGAAAAATACCTGGAACGTCCTCCATTAAAAGACATGATCAGAAAATGTAGATACAGATATTTGAAGCAGGAGAACCTTGAACATTCAGAGCTGTTAACACGCTTGGGTCAAATTGTGAAGAAGAAGAATGGAGAATACGCCAGCTGTGATGCATTTAAGGCTCCAACATCAACTTCACCAGGTGATCATCAAAGTCCAAAACAAAAGGAAACTCAGACTTCTATCACAGATGCTGTTAAAGCTGCTGGTAAGTGCAGAAACTATTCTGACAGTGAAAACTTTGATCACACAAATCTTCTTTGATTAAATTAGAATATTATGCTGCAAATTAATCACATGACAAATAATTTTTACAGAGCTGTATATGACGAGACTCATGATCCCGTGGAGAATCCTTCTCAGTAAGTAAATTCATCACAATGCTAATCACATATCTGTAGATAGATTTTTGGCAGCATCTTTTTTACACATCCCACAATTCTTCACTTAATTAAAATTGAAATTTATTTTAAATAATTTCATGTTAGTATCTTTATCTGAAAAGGTACCTGGTATCTTAATTTATCTGTTACACTCATATTTTGATACTTTGCATTTTCAAAAGAAGGGGAGATGCTGCTCTTTCCTAAAATTATGTACATTTATATACAATTATATACATACCGGTGTGTAGCTTGTGACTCTTCGATCCACAAACGGATTGAGTGGTTGTGAGAACATTGTCAAGTCTGTAGATGACTGACAAGATCTCCTCATGTCAGACAAGTGATTTCAGCCTCACAGTGAGTTTATGACCTTTTATCTTTCTCTCTGTTTTATTACAGCATCTGGATTCAGGATTGTGCTGCTGGGAAAAAGTGGTGACAAACAGACAACACTAGGTAATTTCATCATCAGGAACCAAACTTTTCATTACCAAAAAACTTCCTCAGTCAAACACTGTGTGATTGCCAATGGACAGTGGAGAGGAAAACCATTAACAGTGGTGAAAACTCCAGACATCTTCAGTCTGTCTGTGGAGAACGTGAGAAGAGAGATGAAGAACTGTGTGACTCTGTGTCCTCATGGACCAAATGTTCTTCTGCTGTTAGTGAAACCTTCTGATTTCACTGAGGAGAACAGACAAACACTGAAGTTCATCCTGAGTTTGTTTGGTCAAGATGCTTTAAAATACTCAATGGTCATCATGACACACAAGGAGAATAAACACATCTCTGTGAATCAGCTTCTTAAAGAATGTGGAGGAAGACACTACAACATGGTTGAAGACAACCACACATTGTTAATGGAGAAGATTGAGAACACTGTGCATGAAAACAAAGGAACCTTCCTCACCTTCACTGAAGAGACCATAAGACCAAAGTCTGAACTCATCAAACCAGCTTTAAACCTGGTTCTGTGTGGGAGGAGAGGAGCAGTGAAGACTTCAGCAGCCAAGGCCATTTTAGGTCAGACAGAGTTTCATTCAGTCTCCAACTCATCAGAGTGTGTTAAACATCAGGGAGAGGTGTGTGGACATCGGGTTTCCCTGGTGGAGCTGCCTGCCTTGTATGGAGAACCTCAGGAGGCAGTGATGGAGGAATCACTCAGGAGTATCTCCCTCTGTGATCCTGAGGGCGTCCATGCCTTCATCCTGGTCCTACCTGTGGGTCCCCTCACTGATGAAGACAAGAAAGAGTTAAAGACCATCCAGAACACATTCAGCTCTCGAGTCAATGACTTCACCATCATTCTGTTCACTGTGGACTCAGATCCTACAGCTCCAGCTGTTGTTAACTTTGTGAAAGAAAACAGAGACATCCAGGAGCTCCGTCAGAGCTGTGGAGGAAGATATGTTGTTCTCAACATCAAGGACAAGCAGCAGATCCCAGAACTGTTGGACATGGTGGAAAAAAATACTAAAAATAAACCACACTGCTATACAACTGAAACATTTACACATGCACAAATGGATAAAGTCATACAACTTGAGAGGCTGACGAAGAAGAACAAGATCACTTGTAAGTACTTTGAAATTAAATATGTTTATGAAATGTGATCTATATTGCAGTCTTATTTAATACTGTAACAACCCTGAATATTTAAATTAATTCCTGGTCTTTTATTTTATATTTCACAGGTGATGATGAAGAACAGAGTCCAGAGTGTCTCAGGATTGTGCTGATAGGAAAGTCTGGCTGTGGAAAGAGCTCTTCAGGAAACACCATTCTTGGAAGAAAACAGTTTGAAGCCAAATCAGCCCAAACATCAGTCACTAAACACTGTCAGAGAGCACAGAGTGAAGTTGATGGTCGTCAGGTGGTTGTGGTCGACACTCCTGGTCTGTTTGACAATAGTTTGTCTCATGAAGCGGTTCATGAGGAGATGGTGAAATGCATCAGTCTTCTGGCTCCAGGACCACATGTCTTCCTGTTGGTGTTACAGATTGGCAGATTTACACCAGAGGAGAAGGAGACATTAAAACTCATCAAGGAAGGATTTGGGAAGAATTCTGAGAAGTTCACCATCATTCTTTTAACTGGAGGAGATACACTGGAAGATGAGGAGCAGTCGATCGATGAGTACATTGAAAAAGAGTGTGATGATTCCTTTAAGAAGCTGATCTCTGACTGTGGAGGAAGATACCATGTGTTTAATAACCGAGATAAACACAACCGCACACAGGTCAGTGAGCTGATAACCAAGATTGACACCATGGTGAAGGAAAATGGAGGCAGCTGCTACACTAATGAGCTGCTGCAAGAGGCTGAAGCTTCAATAAAGAAAGAAATGGAGAGAATCCTGAAGGAGAAGAAAGAAGAGATGAAGAGACAGATGGAGGAACTTCAAAGAAAACATGAGAAAGAAATGGAGAGAATCTTGAAGGAGAAGGAAGAAGAGATGAAGAGACAGATGGAGGAGCTTCAAAGAAAACATGAGGAAGAAATGGAAGAAATGAAAAGAAGAATGCAAGAGCGGAGAGTAGAAATTGAAAAGGAGAGAAAACTGAGAGAAAAACAACTTGAAGAAAAGAAGGAAAACATCAAAAAGGAACGTGAGAGGGGAAAGAAAGAACAGGAAATGAGAGAAGAAGAAGACAGGAAGAGAAAACAACAGGAAGAAATTCAACGACAGGAGTGGAAACAGAAAGTTGAAGATTTGGAGGAAAAAATTAAATCAGAGTCAGAATCAAAGAAAACCATTGATAGAAAGCTGGAGGAGAGAAGAGAAGAGATGAGAAAAGAACGAGAGAACTGGGAGAAACAACAAAAAGAATGGTGGGAGGAACGATTTCAGGAAAATGAACAGAGACGAAAGGGGGAATATACAAAGCTGAAAAAGCTTCAAGAAGAATACGAACAGGAAAGAGAAAGGTACAAAAAGAAAAGAAAAGAAGAGGATCGGATCAGACGAGAACAAGAGGAAAAAGAAAAAAAAGAGATAGAGGAGAACTATAAGAAAAAACTGGAGAATCTGAAAAAGACATATGAAGAAGAAGCTAGAGGGGACTACTTTAAGTCATGAAATTCAAACGGAAAAAACCCCACATAAAATACAATATAACATAAAAAATATATACAATGTATACAATAAAGTGGAACATGGTCCAGATGGATGCAAAAACAGAGTTGTGCTTAACAGGTTAATAACAGTTGTGGAGTTGGATGGCTGATGCAATTTTTAAATTCGGTCAGAAGGAGGGAGCTAGCAGAAGTGAAGGGTGTAGTTACACTTTCAAGTGAAAAGTGGGGTGAGACCTGGACCTTGGTCACAGAAATACTTCCTGATTTCCTGTCAGGTGTCTATGACTAATCTGGACCTTTTTGAACATGATGGGTTGCATCCAAACAGGAAAGAAACAGTCAGTCAACAACAGTTACTGTTTGTCAGACTTATTTGGTCTGTTTCTGCAGCAGGACCATCCCAAGCATCTTGGCTCTGTCTCATAGCCATGTCCCTGAAAGTGGGGTCAGATCCTTGGGCAGAGGTCTGCTGGCTGTTCCTGAGACCTAGCTCAAGACCAAAGGTGCCTTTGCTCTCGGGGTGGCGGTAGCTCAGTATGTAGGGACTTGGCTGGGGAACCGCCGGTTCAAGTCCCACAGACCACAAAATATAGAGTGTGGACTGGTAGCTGGAGAGGTGCCAGTTTTCATTCTTGTGTACTGCCAAGGTGCCCTTACCAACCTAACCCCAAAACCTGCTCATGTGGCGCCGTTGACATGCAGGCCCATCACTCCACCATCTCTCTCCCCTTTGCATGTCAACAAGTGTGTGAAGTGTGTATTTCAGCCTGTGTCTGTGTGTATATGAAAAAGAACAATTTCCCTCTAGGGGATCAATAAAGTATATCTTCTGAATTCCCTTCCCAAGGATCTTGCTGAATCAGTGACATCTTTTAAAACATATCTTTAAAAAGCCTTTTATTTATTCTAGCACACTGTTTAATTTTCCATAATGTCTCATCTATTTTATTATATATATATATATATATATATTATATTTTTATCAAATATAAGTGATGGGTATTTTATTTATTTATTTATTTTTCTTTAATTTTTCTTATGTATGTTAATTGTCTAAATGTATTTGCCCCAGTGCAGTTGTATGTTGTATCTCTTTAATTGTTAGTTTTTATTTTTACTGATGGGGGTCTTTTATTATTTTTATTTTACCTTACTTCTATATGTTTTAAATTGTCTAAGTGACTTAACTAATTGCTTAATGAAAATACATGGATTACCATCACTGTAAATCCCTCACAGTAGCTTTACTGCTCGATTTGTGTGGAGAAAAGAAAAACGTCCTCAGTTTGGCCTTAACCAGATGTTGCTATGTCCTTGTGCAGACTACAGAGCCTCCTGAATGTTACACTCTGGACCTTTAAACTGCATGTGTTGTTGCACTCACAGAGGTTCAGTCTCAGCAGCTTGTAGATCGCAGTGAGAACACAGCCTGTCTTCCGTTGGCAGCCATGTTAGTCTGAGTCTTCCTGTTTCAGTGTTCAGGTTGTGCTCACTGAGTCTGTACATTGTTCATGTTTTTTATCAGCTGTAATGCTCAGATACAGGGACAGTGTGGAGCTGCTTTTTAGGCTCTAATAACAGTTGAGTTCATGTTGTGTTTCAGTAGTTGAGGTGTAGTTTTCTTTTTTATTGTGTATCATTTGGTTGAATTTGCTGATGCTCTCAGGTGTTTGTAACAGATTGTGTTACAGTGAGTCAGTCTCAGGACTAGCTGACTCCTTTCTAGATTTTAACATTACAAGTTTATGAATCATAGTTTTTCTCCAGTGGAGTTGAACTGTTTGTGAAGGCATTGTTTGAACTCAAGATCAATCATTTATTTTCTGAGCTTGTTGATGTCAGAAAGATCCCAGCTTGAAGTGCACATTCTGGGTTTTCTCTTTGTTTTTCTAGTCTTTTTCCCAACTGTAGATGCAAATAATGTATAAAGCTGGAAGCTCTGTTTGGTCTTTAGAGATGATCTTTGTTTTCTTTTGAATATGAGAAAGAAAATGATGTTTGTGAGTGAAATGAAATGTTTAGATGTCATTCACTCTGTTTTCTCTGCAACACCCAAATCACAAATATCACAGCAAATATTAAATATGAATCCAAGCTGAATATCATTTAAACTGCTCATCAGATGAATCAGAATGATAAAGAATGACTTTATAGACAATGAATGCTTTGATGTTTCTCTGTTTTGTTACATGTCCAATAAGAATAGATGCTTTATAACTGATGACATCAACTTAAGACAGAATTCAGATGAATCTTTAATTGTATGTTCTGTGTTTGATCTTTGGTTTCTGTGTTTATCATTATAAAAGATGAATAAAGTGTTTCCCTGTAGTTCACTGTGACTCTTGTTAAATGCTGAAGTCAAACAGACTCCACACAGAAACTTCATCAGATGGCTTTGTTCAGGACGTGTTGTTGTATATTCTGAGGACAGGTGGAGCATACAGAATTTGACACATCGAGGGGGGTTAAGTTATAATGACTGTCAATGAGGTTTACTGCTGTCCACTGTTCTCTTGTGATTTACTAAATCAAGTGGCAGCAGTAAAACTGAAGTAATGTCCTTGTTATAGTATAGGCCAAAATATACATGAAATTTACATGAGCACACAAGACAGATAATCTGAGAAAAAAATCTAGTTCCTCTGGAACAAAAATAACTGATCAGAAGAAAGATAGTTGATTGTTAAGTTTCATTTTCAGGTCATCCAATACTGACACTTTGGGACCTGAAAACCATAGGAACCTGATTTTTTAACAGATCATCTGTCTCATCTGATTGCTGTAGGGATTCATTGTTAAATCAAAAGTTCCTCCCCACCTGCATCACTGCCACTGCTCTCTAAACCACTCCCCCCAAGATTATAAAGCCCCACTTTCAGATCTGATTTCCCTCTTTTCCCTTCAAACCACACAAGAAGAACATAGAGAATCTGCTGTGAGTTTAATGTAACCTACCTCTGGTAAATTTACCTCTTACCAACTGTAATAACCATAAATAAACAAACACAGACAACACGGTAAGTTGCAAGATGTAATGTTTAGTAATTTAAATTTACAGGTGATAACTCAACATTTGAATACAAGATGAATGAAAATAAAAAATGGCCCTTTAAAATAAACAGGTCTTTAGTTTGGTCGATATTCTTTTTGGTCTGTGTGCTCTGTGATCACTTTCGAGTTCTGTCTTGTCAGTCCACTGTCTGTGGTTATTGATATCAATTATACGTTTCTGGTGATAGTATGCTCCTTTTTTCAACGTGTGTAGCAGTCCTGGTTACTTGCACCACCCTACCACCAGGAGTATCTGATGAGTCAATTCTGGGTTCCAGGTAGAATCACTCTGGGAGGCTTGCCATCAATGGGAATGGATCTTCAAAAGTGGCTCTCACTCTGTCCACAAGAGCTGACCTGTTTTATGCAAACAGGACTTTTAGATTCAGTTTTGTCTATTTGTTGTACGGTAATTATACTAAAGTGTAACAATAATGTAACACTAAGCATCATATACAATATAACACTCAATGATAACATGTTCAGGCATTACATTACACTCAGTTTTACTGCACTACAGTTTCAATATCAATATCTGATTATTACCAACATACATCATTGTACTGTTAATTAAACAGTAACTAAAAACATAGCGATTATGACAATAGCATTAAGCTTTTACCTCAATACAATATTAGGAAGGATTATGGCAGTATACATGTTACATATGGCCCTGCTAATATTCCCACCCTCCAGTGTGAGTACAATTTCTTTACATCAACTATCACATTCTCCACAGTAAAATGTAAGAATTTAATATTTATCCCTTAATAACAACACAACAATCATGTAAAACATTGTATTTCAACATCCTTTCCTTTACGTATAGTAATGTACAATTTACTTAACTATTCATTGCAACAAGGTAATTACAGTAAGTAGGCCGCAGTAACACCCAGCTGAATTGTGTGTTAAACTGTCACTATTCCAGTAACTTTAGCATAGTTAACTAAAATCTTAATCCACTGTCAGCAATCAACAACTATGGTACTATCAAAACATTTTAACAAAACCTCCATAAACATGCAGGCATATAGCACCATACACACAACTAGCAACATTAGCATCATACTGCTTGCTTACAGTAAATGATAAATAATATAAATAAAACAAATGTTAAAGTTCCCAGTTGCTTCTCTTTAGATTTCTTTTTGTGTTTAGTAACTGGCCTGTAGATATTTCCTGTAAGTCTGTCAATGTTACTGGTCTTTGCTCAGGTTGCAGTCCCATGAGCACGTCTCCTCTTCTCCTCATGTAAACAATCAATAACACAGTTGTTGTGACCTGTCAATCAAGCTCAGCTAGGGGCCGGACTTGACCAGACTATAATTTCTGAGATTTCAGATTCCTCTCTTCTTATTCAGTAAGGACAGTAACATTATATTAATAGATATTTTAACCATTTATTGTCACTGGGTTACATTAACAGGGACTATTTCACCTTAATATTATTTGGTTAATGTGATATCTATTGTTTGAAGTTAACAGTATAAGATACAAGATAATGTTATATTCTGGAAAGGATTCTATGTTAAGAAAAGAGAGGAAAAAAGCCAGATTGTGGCTGCATTAATAATGTTATTTCAATTATCAAATGTATTTCTTATTAGTAATGTTTTGTTTGTAATTATTCAGATTTGTAACATTTCTTTAAAAAAAATCATCCACTCCAAACGATAACCTACTCACTGACTGTAATGAACTGTTGAAATGGAAACACCACCATTGCAATAGCTTTTTCAGAAAGTCTTTATAAAAGTTACACACTGCATACTGCTTTGTTGTAAATATGGATGTGCCTTTGTTTTATTCATCTTCATTCTTGTAGAAATCTGTGTGATGAGAGAGAGTGGGAAATATCTAGAACGAATACATTGACTAGTATTTGACTATTTGATCATTTAGTCTTAATGTAATATGAGTTAGTATATTGTGTTAATGAAAATTTTAATTTTGGTGACAGCTGGGAAATTGTGCTGCTGAAGAAATGATTGTTGATTAAGTTCCTTCATTAGCAGGATGTGTTATGTGTTGTGTTGATGTTTCATGTTGAGGTTATTAAGGAGGCCTGTGGACAGATATGAGAGCTCTGGAGGAGTTGCTTCAGTTGTGAGGTGACAGTTTATGTTGGTGGACTGAATTACATGACGTGTATTATTTTGTGAGAAACAGAATATTAGTGTAAGTAAATAAGTAGTGTTGCAGTGTTGGGCAACTTACTCAAAAAATGTAATGTATTACTCATTACTCTTTTCAAAAGTAATTTAACTTAACTTATTACTTTCTGCCAACAGTAATTAGTTACTCTACTAGGTATATTTATTTTCTGCTACTTGCCACAAATTGGTGATTGTGTCCTTTCTCCCAAAATGCAGGCTTACCACAATTAAAATCCAGTTTTGTTTGTTTAAAATAAAGGTAATGTGAATATTTTCATCTTTCAAACTAGTTTCCTCCACGATCACAAATATTAATCCAATGATGTGATTGGACTGTTGGATTTTAAATTAGGAGTAATGTTGTAACTAATTATTTTTTGAGGTGGTATTGTAATATTATTACTGAAATAAATTAGTATTTAGTTACACTGGGGGGAAGTAATCTTATTACTGTAATATTACTAGTATTGAGTTACTGCCCAACACTGGAGGCTTGGCATTAACTTTAATCTGTCACTTATCTCACTGAGAACATCATTCATTGTTCTCAACTCATTAATCTTATAATTAAGGAATCTTTTTAAGGTGTAAATGGCCATGAAGTGTGGAGATAACAGGAGAAGGAGATTCTAGCTGTAGAAACACTGTCGCCAAGCAGGGGAAACTCTCTGCTAAAAACAACCACGTAACAAACAGATAAGAAATGTTCCACATTTAAATCAAGTACTGAGCTCTGACTTATATCTACAGCACTTACCTCCTGTCCTGTATCCGTCCTGTATCCTCTGCAACTTCGGTATTGTTGTCAAATGGACTCAATAAAATCTTCGGGGGGAAAAAATTGAATTATTGAATTAACAGTGGAAATGGTAAATTGAATATGTTCCATATCTAAAATAAAATGTTTGTATTGGGTTATTATCAGTGGTGTAGGGTACAGCCAAGTATACAGAGTATACCCACTTATTTTTCAGTCAGCATTACCCACTTCTAGCTCCCCTCTGATGTGAAGTGATTTTTTGCAGGATGCTGATTGAGCAGTACTCATAATGTAGGTGTAAAAGTTGCATCAGACTGATACGGAGCCCCTAAAGGGACATGAAAACAAAAAAATGAAACGTTTCTTGTGCGCACTACAAACGTTTCATTTTTTTTTTTTTCCCCCATGTCCCTTTAGTTTGTTTACTGTAGTTTATTACCTTTCCAGATGATAATGTTATTGGAGGAGCTCCGCTATATTAGTTATTATTAAAGTTTTATTTATTATCTAGATCTCAGAGACCTCAGAACAAATATTATCACTCATTATATCAGCTACATTATAAAATGCATTACAAAGTTAAACCATAAATCTTTTCTCACAGGCTTTCACATTGTTGTCAGCTGTAATCAGAGGTTGCTAGTTTGAATCCCCACTGACCCTGTTTAATCACCTTTATATCACATTGTATTCCTGATGTTTTATTGTACAGTATCACCATCGCATATAATAATAATGATAGACTTTATTTATATAGCACCAAGAAACAGGTTAACAAAGTGCTTTGACAGGGTAATCACAAACAACAGGGGGGACAACACTATGAACCACAGCACCATCAGTAACAATATATAGAATAAAGGGTGAAGAGTGAAAAAGGGTCACTGCATTTCAGGACCTCAGGACCCGTGGAGGCACATGGGGGATTAAAAGGTCTGATTATAGTTTAGTAACCTAGCATGGTTCTAATTTCAGTGTTGGATGAGTCAATTTCGAAAAGCAGAATTCAGTCTTTTTAGAGTTTAGCTGAAGGAAGTTTTGGGCCATCCATTTGTGGATGCCCTTGAGACAGTTTATGAGAGAATGTTATTGGGGTCGCAGCTGTGGTAGATCTGGGTGTCGTCTACATAAAAATGGAAAATAATTTTGTGTGCTCTTATGAGAGATCCTAATGGCAGCATTTAAAAAACAGCTGGTAAATAAAATCAGGCCGAGCACCGAACCCTGAGGAACCCTACAGTGTAGTGCATATATGGATACAGGATTTCAATTACTCATTGTACACAAATGTTTTTAATTTATAAAGAATGTTGATTTTGGAGTAATATGGAGACTTGATGATTCCAAAGTTGAAACAT